GACTTTCTCAAGCAGGCCACTCCGTTAACACGGGCCGATTCGGAAAGAAGCCTTAGTTGCAGCCTCAATGCTTTGCTACCTTGGTTTGGGGTGTTCTGCGGGCCTCACGGTGGGGGTCAGGGTGGATTCTGACTGTAGACAGGGCTCTTGTGCAGTGAGGTTTCGAGCGGATGCTAGGAACAACACCTTTACTCCAGATAAGCTCCACGCATCTACTTTGATTGGCACGATGTCACCTGCTCCTGCTGGGAGGGGGGGGGGGGTGCGAGCTCAAACCCCCTCATGTTTCAAACAAAAGATCATAGAACTGGCAAGACCCATATGTTAATAGGTAATGCCACCAAGCATTACAATGACGAGCCTATTGTTACGATTATAACTACACCCATCTTAAACCTAAAGCCCAAACACCCTAGACCCACAACCCTATATACTCTAGCTCTGCCTGCGGCCTCTGGCGGAGCTGCGCCCCCAGTGGACCTGGGAGAAAAGGAGCAAAATAGACAAAGCACCTGAACCTCTATAACCCCTAAAACCTGAACCTGAAACCCTAAACCCCTAAACCCTAAACCCTAGTTCTGTGAGGTGGCCCTTGCTATGGGGCAAGGTCCCCGAAGCTGCTTCGACGGGGAAGCCCTCTTCGTGCATTCCGGCCGCAGGGGAGTTTAAGGTTCGGGGCTTGGTCTTGGGTCCTCGGGTTTAGCCAAGTAGGTTACTGAAATATTAGGGTTTAGGGGTTTAGGGTTTAGGGAAGTATTAGGTTTGGGCCTTTGGGTTTAGCATTTAGGGTAGCAGCCAAGATTTACGGATTTCGGGTCTGACATGGAGTTGAGGGAGCCCTATCAGGCTTCTTGCTTTGTTGGCGGGTTTGGGAGCAGCCAAGAGAGGTTTGGGTGTAGGAAGGCTTCAGTTGCTTTAATTGAAACTGCTGTTTTTGTACCGGGAGCTGGCTTGCCTGTGTTCTTGATGAGCGCGGCTGGTGATGCGGCAATGATCCTATAGGATATGGGAAGCATGAACTTTTTGCTGCTCAGCACAAGCGCACAGTTTACGAAAGGTTATTGAACCTCTAGGTGGGAGCACATGAGCTGAGCCATCACATATGGCGTCGAGTATAAGTGCTAAGATGCAGGTCCGGGGTTATGCCGATGAGGGCTTGTGTAGTGGGACCACACTAGTGACACTTCAGGGCTTCACTTCAAACCCTAAGGCTAAACCCTGGAGACTTGAAGCATTTTTTGCAAGGAGACCTCGATGCCTAATCCCTGAAGCTGAAGGGTTTAGGGTTTAGGGTGTAACCAAAGAACAAAATAGAACTGTAAACCCTAATCACAACAGCACAAGAATGAAGTTGCTAAATCCTGGCAGACAACACCCGAGATTCAGGGTTGAGGACGTGTTTTTGGGTCAATACCTAGACACTTCAATGTAGTACCTTTGTTGGGGTTACCTTAGCTTCTTATTGTAGGATCCTAACCCTAAAGGTACTACATTTAAGGGTCTAGGCAGATTCCATGTCTACTCACGAACTGTTAGTTTCCCTGCATGGCAAAGGGGACCAGCAAGTAGGCACCCTAGACACCTAAAGCCCACAATCCGGGATGGTCCTCGCTTCAAAAGCCTTAAGTAGCACAGCACTCGGAGGCCTACACCCTGCACCCTAAACTTTCCAGGCCCTGAAGCCTAAGCCCCTACATAAACCCTAAACTTTAAACCCTAAACCCTAAGCCCTAAACCGAGAACCTATCCTTTTGCGGCTCCTTGTGGCTCGGGCGCCGTAGCCTCCGGAGATTGGCAGATCCTCTGTGCCAAGGACTTCAGCAGATGGGTAGTTCTCTAAATTAGGGTCCCTTTTGTTAGGGCTCCTTAAAGGGATCTATAAGGGCTTAGAGTTTAGGGATAAGGGTACTTCATGGGTAGCTATCTAAATTAGGGTACCTTTTGGGGGTCCTTTTTCGAAGGGTGCCGTACTATATTGGGCAGGGGACCCTAATTTAGAGAACGACCCACATGGTATAAACGCTGCTCCTAGGAGTTTTTAGGGTTTAGGCTGGTGGGGTTTGGGGGGGTTTTAAGGTTTAGGGTTCGAGGTTTAGGGTTTTAGGGTTCGGGTTCAAGGTTAGGGTCTATAAGGCTTAGCGTTTAAGGCTTAGGGCTTAGGGCTTTCTAGTGTGCGGGTGGGGTGTCTCCTGAGATTGAGAGGGCCAGGATCTTCGAGTGAGGGGCGTGAGGTTTGGGGCTTCGCCACAAGGAGCTCTATAAAGATATCCCTAATTCCCCAAACCCTGAACCCCTAAACCCCTAAACCCTAAACCTCTAGACTCTAAACCCTAAACCCTGAAGCCTAAACCCTAGAGGCTAGGTACATCATCCTAAACCCTGAACCCTAAACCCGATTTAGGCTAGGTACATCATGGTTCAGAACCCTAAACCCTAAACCCCTAAACCCTAAACTCTATGGTTCAGAACCCTCCCTAAACCCCTAAACCCTAAACCCTGTTATAGGCTCGGTACACCATGACTCAGAACCCTAAACCCTAAGCCCTAAACCCTGTTATGGGCTAGGTACACCATGGCTCAGAACCCTAAACCCTAAGCCCTAAGCCCTAAACCCAGGCATGTTGGTTTCGGTACACTCCCGGCTCCCGGGCTCTAAGTCTCCTCCCCCCCCCTCGCCCTCGAGTACACATGAGCTCAGCTTACAAACTGTGAAGCTCTATTGGGGTTTAGGGCTTAGAAGCTCAATTTGGGTTTAGGGTTTAGAAACTCAATTAGGGTTTAGGGTTTAGGGTACACCCTTAACACCCTGAATTGACAAAGCCTTATAGGCTCTAAGACGAAGACTTGTATTGCGGAATAGAGAGATGGTGGATGTAGGATGAGGGCTTAGGGTCTGGAGTTTCTTGCTTATGGTTTCAGGTTTAAGGTTGGGGCCATTCGCGCACTTCCAACAGAACCGGAATCTCAATGTGGGTAGTTCTCTAAATTAGGGTCCCTTTTTAGGTCCCAAATATGGTACGGCACACTTATACATAGGACACCCCCAAAGCGACCCCAATTTAGAGAACTACCCATGAAGTACCCTTATCCCTAAACCCTAAACCCTTATAGATCCCTTTAAGGAGCCCTAACAAAAGGGACCCTAATTTAGAGAACTACCCATGTTGGGTGAACGCAGTCGGAGAGTTTAACATGTTTTCGGTTTGCGGCTGAGACGCCATGGCTTGGGGCTCACATTGCCTGGAGTTGCTTTAATCGTCTTGCAGGGTCGGTTTAGGGTTTAGGGTTTAGGGGTTTAGGGTTTAGGGTTTAGGGTCCTTCTCCAGCCCAGTGCATGTTGTCTGATGGCACTAGAAGCAAAGCCAAGCTCTTACTACAGAGCGGGGATTAAGAGCGGCCAGATCCGTTTCTGGATGAGAGATCCCAATATAGAACTCAAAAGGGGGGTCTGTATCCGTATCACAAGAACCCTTAAACAAGCTTCCCCTTGTCGAAGACTCAGCCCCACATTTCGAACCTTGAAACGGCCATGCTCGACAGCTCCGTGTGACCTCTTGCCGTTGCATTTGATGCTCAACAGGTGAAGCGACCTGGACATCCGAAGGTTTTAAAGGTAGCTTCACCCTGTATCTGCTCTTTTTGCCCTTGTTGCCATGTTTGCAACTTGTTTCGCAGAAGAGCCGAGCACGAGTTTGGTGACCTATGCTCGCCAACTCCGGGCTAAAGCGGCAAGGATCACGATTAGCGACTTGCAGCTCTTTCCGATGTACGTCCGCAACCGTCCAAAAGCTTCTCCTCCTCCTCCTACTTCCCTGCTTCTTTTTCTACTACTACTACTACTACTACTACTACTACTACTACCACTACTACCACTACTACCACTACTACCACTACTACTACTGCTACTACGACGACTAAGTACTAAAACTACCACTAGAACTACTATCACTTACTTGTCCTAATCTTCTTTTCTTCCCTGCAGGTGGCCCCAGTAGAACCCTAAACCTAGACCCTAAAGTTGCAGGTGGTCCCAGTAGATGCCCTCCTGGGAATGACGAGCCTTCGGCCACATGAAGAGCTCCTAGCAGACAGAGTGCTCGTGGAGTTTGACCATCCCAAAGGAGACTAGGCTTCGGGTTTAGGAGTTTAGGCTTTAGGAGTTTACAAGCTTTAGGGTTTAGGTGTTTTGGGCTAGGGTTTAGGGTTTAGGGAACGCTTGGCGTTCTTGAAGATGTCATGTAGTTTTCAATAGGAGAGTATTCAAGGAGGAACAGAGTTACCTGTGTCAGTTTTCTCCAATATTTCAGCCCAGGACATGCTATGTTCGTGTCGCATCAGTGGGCTGCCATGGACCACCCCGATCCCAATTTTGATCAGTTCGAGGTCTTGCAGGGTGCACTCAGGAAAGCACTGTCGGGGGAGACAACCATCTGTGCGGATGTCAGCATCGAGTTGTACACAGGGCAGCAGACTCACCTACCAGCCGAGGAGTTACGGTCTAAGCCTCTCTTCATTTGGTACGACTACTTCGCCTGTCCGCAAGACTCCCTCCAAGATCGGGAGCTTGCCATCTCCAGCATTCCTGCCTACGTAGACAAGGCGATTTTCTTTGTGATCCTTTGCCCTCATGTCCATCACCGCGAGAACCAGGGTCTACTGTCCAAGCGATCTTGGGAATCTCGAGGTTGGTGCCGCCTTGAGCGTGCTACCCGAGAACTCAGTGCACAGGCGGTTTAGGGTTTTAGGGTTTGGGGGTTTAGGGTTTAGGGGTTTAGGGGTGTATTCGAGAACTCAGTGCACAGGCGGTTTAGGGTTTTAGGGTTTAGGGTTTAGAGTTTAGGGGTGTATTCGAGAACTCAGTGCACAGGCGAGCAAGGGCTTTTGCATCGAGATTCAGAGCTCTGTCCATCAGTTCTTGGCTCCTACCTGGGATTGGGTGCACAGTCCAGTCGGTGAAGGCGAGTTCACTTTCGATGAAGATCGACAAAGCCTTCTACCAATCATCGACACCATGTTACGAAAAAAGCTCCACTCTTACCTTCTGGAGGGTGATTTCCACCACTACCGCTTGTTGCTGAACCTGCAGAGCGTCCATCTCCGAGGCCTTCCGATCAGAATGACTCATGACTGCTTAAGAGTTCAGCTCTGCAAGGGTGTTTTGAGGGCTTCTAGTATGTAGGGTGACGGTACTTCCCTCGTCGTCTCGAGTTTTTGCCGGAATTTTTGTGACTTTTTCAAGCAACCATCCGCCAGCCTTGGATGAAACTACTCTTCTCGGCGATTTCCTGCTAGAGCCCGGCTTTTGGCGGGGCAGAGTCATGCCTCAGAGTCTGGGGCACTCCCTGATCTCCGCTTCGCCCATAGGCTCCATTTGTAGTTCCTTTTTGGGATTACCTTTATGGGATCCTAAATCATCAACCACAAAAAGGAACTACTATGGACTATGGAGCCTATAGGCAAGGATTGCATCATGTTCCATCTGAGCGAATGGGTATGTCTCACACCACTTAGCGTCAGGGTTTGCGCATGTTGGGGGTGCCCGTCATCACTCCTGCGAATTTCAGATTCTGATTCTCCCTATAAAGCCCGCGAAAAGGCGATTGTTTCGATCGAAACCACTAAACCCTAAACCCCAAACCCTAAACCCTAAACCCCCAAACCCCCAAACCCCAAACAGTAAAACCCTGGAAGGCGTCTCCGCGCCCCAAACCTGTCAACCCCATGGGGCGGGAATGATTCTGCCATGGGCTCTGCCATGTCTCAAAGTGGTGGCTTATAAATTATAAATGTCAGTATATTCAGTGCCACGGAAATGATTAAAGTGTATGTTTTGAGCACATTCTGAGTTCGAAACGTGACAAATATGTAAGTGCCCTGTTGGAGCCATGTTTTCCAGGGGCAGAGTCGTCCATCAGAGTCTGGCACAGCCGTCATCTCCTTTAGAAGATTGAGCAAATGGGTCTGTCACCCTCCATGTAGTGGTTTAGGGTTTAGGGTTTGTGCATGCCCATCATTCATTCACTCTGGGAATTAAACAGTCTGATTTTATCTTTCGACAAAACACAAGGAACAAATGTTTCGATCGAAGCACATACCCCGGGAAGGGGCTAAAGGGTCCGTTCCCAACCCTTTCAACCCCATTTTCCGCTGAACTTATATGTTTCTGTGTGTCAGAACTTGGTTGCTTACCTGTCAATATATCGGTGTGGGGATATCGTATTCTATGTTTCTTTCAGCACAATTGATGAATTCGACGAAATCGAATCCGTGAGTTCTTCCAAGCGCCAGCATCCAGCAATGACGTACATAAGCAACAAAATCATGCATATGCGTGCATGCGATGATACCGGCCGCCTTTTTCGGGATCTAACTTTTTTGTACAGTACGCATGTACGATGTACTGTGAACATGACTCTGTCCTGACTAGAAGAGTGGGGGCAGCCAAGGATTGAGGACTTGGTGCCGGGCTTTGCCACGGAGCTCCTTGATCCTGCTGCTTCTGCCTTGGAGAGTCTCAGCCTTTGAGTTTAGGGCTTGATAAGGTTCAGGTTTTAGGGTTTATACGGGCTTCATAGGGTTGCTAGGGCTGAGGATTCAGGGTTTAGGGACTACATGCCCTTGCCCCGAATTATAGAACAGTAATACAGCCCTACATAAACCCTAGATCGCAAACACTGTTACCGCTAGTGGTAAGAATAATCTTGCTAATGCCATTAGTATTGCATACTATTACTTTGACTATGACAATGCCTCTCACATCCAGAATCCGATAGCCTCAAACTGTCTGAAACCCTACACCTCGTCATCACAAAAGCCCCCAGAATCCTACAGCCCCGGGCCAGAGTGTGTAACATGCGACAACAACCGATCACGTTTAGGGTTGAGGGGTTAGGGTCTGAGGGTTTTCGGGTTTAGGGCTTGTCAACACTCGCTCTGACATGGCAGTAGCAACCAAGATGTAAATAGCAACAACAACAGCACGATCACACCCGAGGCCTCGACGCGGGGGGGGGGGGGGGGGGGGCGGTGTATGACGATGGGCTGTGGCTTTGGGATATCATGTTTTTGCTTTTGGCTGCTTCAAGGTTCCAGGCGCTTGGGAGGGTGACGAGGGCAGAGGTTAGCTTTGGATTTCCTGGGATCCGGGCGAAGCTAAGGAAACCCTAAACCCTGAAGCCTAAACCCAGGAAGTTCATGTACCAGAACGGCTTGAGCCACATCCATGAGCGGAACGAGGGTGGTTGGTCCCCAATTTGCTATGCCGCCATCTCGGGCAACTTGGGGGCTGATTTGGTTTAGGGTTTAGGGTGATTTGATTGACCATACCTCAACTCATCTTGGCGCCTCTTCTTAGTAGCTGAATTACTACACCTTAATCTTGGGGATAATATGATCCCTTCTGGAACTGAAAGTGTAGACTTTCTTGTGCTTCTGAACTCGGCAACTAAGGCTTGGGTAGTTACTATAGCCTGTTTGCTTGATTGCGTGATCTTGCAAGTTGTAGAAGGTTGTCCTCACAACTAGGCGACGGGTCGTTCGCTTTTGTTTAGGCGCTCACCTGTGGACGCCACTCCGTCCTCGCAAACAGGCGACGGGTCGTTTTGCTCGGCGCTACTGCTACTGCTACGGCTGCTGCTGCTCCTGCTACTGCTGCTGCTCCTGCTACTGCTACTGCTACTACTGCTACTAACTACTACTACAGCTGCTATACCACCAACACCATTGCAGCAAGGCCGCCTGTCCTGAGGTAACCCGATGCTTCTTGCCAGCCTACTCGACCAGAAAGCAGATGTCAATGATAACATCACGAAGCTTGGCCGGAGATTTTAGGGTTCAGGGTTTAGGGTTTAGGGTTTAGGGCGAGCAGTGTTTCGGAGATACGGTTCTCGACTGCGGGCTTGGAGTTCTTGGGCTTACTGATGTAAACCTCTGCGAGGTCCTATGGAGTTCCTTTTTTCTGGTGACTGCCAGTCCGGCGTTGGGTCGGGGGGTTTTGGGGATTTAGGTGGGAGCGGTGATTAAAAAAAACAAAACAAAAAACCCAACAACAATTCTCCACCTATTTCCCTAAACCCCAAACCCTAAAACACCTGAAACCCTATTTAGGTGAGACTTCGGGGTTTGGAGCTTCAGAGATTCGGAGGTTTAGGGAAGCCCTTGACCCCCGAGCCCCTAAAGAATTGACCTAAAAACCCTTAAGCTTCCACCGCTTAAAGGCCCCGAAGCCCTTGGCTCTCAGCTCCATCTGGTGATCCCAAAGCCCTACCGTGTTATGGGTTCTAACCTCTATACCTACTATTTTGTGGGGTTTCGGGGGTCACAGGTAAGCCCTAATTAAACCCTTAAACTCAAAGCACTTTAGGGCTCGAAAGTCCGAACTCCTGGATCCGTTCCTCAGGCAGGTCGAAGATCTTTTCCACTTCAATGCCGGCACCCGCATTGTCCACATGTGCGCACACCTCCGGCATAATGACGCTCGGCTTGCGATTCGAAGGCTGACGGTTCAGACTTTAATCTGTGCTGAAGCTATGAGGCGATTTTTGATGCTTATGACTGCCGCATACATCTGCAAATACCTCAAAAATGGCTCGATTCGGAATAGCCCTGTTTCGTGCCTCGCTTGGGTTTATGCACCTGTGCACCGGCAAGATACAGGCGTTTCAGAAATAAAGAGTCCTAAATTCGCCTAAATAGGAGGATCCTGAACAAAACAACCCCTGGTCGGAGTAACACGTCGTCGTATCCTCTCGTAGTCCTTATAGAGTCAAATAACCATGTCCTGCAAAGCCCTATACTCGTCATTAAGTCGGTTTAGAGTTTAGGAGTTTCGGGCCGAGTTTTCTGAAGCTTGCAGATACGAGCTGGGGGATGTTCACGCGTATAGAAACAAAGCACATCTCCTCTCTGGTTGGGGGATTTGCAGTTAAGGGTCTAGGGTTTAGGGTTTAGGGTTTAGGGGGGACTGCCAACAAGATCCCCTTTCGTCCCCACATACCATAAGCCCTATAAACCCTAAGCCCAAAGCCCTATTCCAACTGTTACCGCTCCTATGTCCGACATTAGGGCCTCGCCTTTTTTTCTTCGTTTGCTTTGGCGAGGTTTTCGTTGTCAAGGTTCTAGGATTTATCCATCGGCTGCGAAGTCCTGTGGATGCAAGCCATAGCACCCATATATACGTATATGTAGATGTATAATGATATATGAGGATATATGTATACATACGTTTATGCATGTTGTTTCCGGTCCCCTAAACCGCCAAGCCTACCGTAAACCCTGAACCCATCAAGCCTAAAGCGAGGATGCTCTACGTTTGCTGATTGGTGCGCGGGCTGATTTGCAAACAAAAGATGGTTGGGAGGCCTCTGCCATTCACTGGGCAGCCTTGGCAGGCTCTGTGGGAGCGCCGGGTTAACATAGGCTAATAGGGGCCTAAATCATGACCAATGCTATTTTTTGGGGGGTTCCTTATCATAATTATAGTATAATGCACCCCAAAACCCTTATTCTAATTATTACGGCTCCTACATTTTCTGTTTTGGGTTGGGGGTAAACGTTACACTCGAAAACGGAGATTGCACAGGGCCAGAGCACGACACAGCACGCGGGACCCTCCAACCCATGCTGCCGAGTCACGAACCAGTTCAGGCTTACCGCCTACCAAATCCTGCATTACTTGAAGGACCCTAAACCATGGGAATTATGGTATATTCCTTATTATGGGTAATGCAGGATTTATATCATCAACCGTATGGTCACCTCTGGTCAGCATCTCGAGGTCTTCACGAAAACTACAGCCAACTTTTCAGGAGTGGAACGCAGCCCACTTTCGAAATCTCACGGGACCTGCACATTTGATCCAATGGAAAGAGATCCTTGATAAATCGTGCGTGGCCCCAAAATTGAACACTTTGCGTTGAATGTACCGATATGAGGAATTACGTCCAGCTGTTCCTTTTCGAATGAGTGCCTCTATTGAATTTTACCAAAGATGTCACACCAAGAGCCAGGCAACCGACACGGAATCGTTTGCAGGAGCGGCTACGGTCCAGGGAGTCTAGATTCAGAGGTTTATAGGTTTGGCTCTACCAGGCTCGATTACCTCAGGATAAGCAAGAAGGATCCACGTGGTACAAGCGATTGCTATCAACACCGAATGACATTTTTTCGCTGATATCCTGGCCCATGCCAGACATGCCCAACCACGTTGATCAGGGGATCCCTTACACGCAGTCCTCCTTAATCCATAAGCCCCTAAAGCCCTAAATCTTAAGCCCTAAACCCCCAAACCCTCAACCCCTAAAGCCCTAAACTCTTCAAAACCTAAACCCTCGCTTTCCCTGGGAGGCAACGCCGAAGGAATCCAAATTCTGCGATCGGCGGGATGCAGTCCAACAGATGCGAACTTGCTTCTTCGATGCAGTCTAGGCCTGAAGTTTTATAGGTTATAGGTTATGGGCTTGAAGGTTTAGTATTTAGGGGGTTTAAGGTTTAGGGTTTATGGGTTATGGGGTTTAAGGTTTAGGATTTTGGCGTTACGGGGAGGGTTTAGGCGTTGCAATTTAAGGTTTAGGGTGCCTGAAGTCGGACCATTGGGGGTGCAGGGACGCATGTGTTCTTTCATCTTCGGCTTGGATCTGTTGGGCTAATGTAGGGGCCTAAGTAATTACCTGTACTATTTTGGAGGTTCATTATGGTTTGACTAGAATATAATGGGCCCAGAGACCCTACTCTAATTATTAGGCCCGCTATATAATGTTCGAAGCTCTCGGCTTCTTGGCTCTTGCAGTAAAGTTCGTACAGGCTTCAGCGGGGTAATCGTTTCTCCCGAAGATTCAACGGGGTGCACGATGTGGTTTAAGGGTGGATTGTCCGGAAAGTGATATGATATTCTTGTTAGGGAGTTGTTTAATGAAAGGGCGAAGGATTATTTCAGACGGCCGCTCCAGTACCGCTGAGTCAATATAAGGCTTGGTTACCTACCATTCACCTTGGCAGCAATGTCCCCATCGAACACCGTCGCCACCATGCAGGACATGGTACGGGTTCTGGGCTGGGGTTTGGTTAAGAGCACTCCAGGCAGATCCAGGCAGAAGGACCCTTGAGGAAATGCTTTTGGTGGGCAGGATACCCCACCAAGGACTAAGTAAGATCTGTTGCCGGGGATTTCTGGGATTTGGGGGGACCCTAACAGCCAAAACCCTCGTCTAGACCCCTTAGAAGAATCCTTCAAAGGAACATGTCTCGGAAGCTTTTAAGCAAGCGTCAAAAGCGGCCCTGCCGTCCCTGGAAGGAGTTGTTACAAGACACCCCCTCCTCGGAGATAGACCTTACAATCTTCTGTGCGATGCTCCATGCAAATTTATCCGCCGAAGTAGTGTCGCTGTTGATCGACGCCGGGGCCGATGTGAACCACCGGCTGAGCGTACCCTTCTTCAGTGCACTGGGTGTGCTTTTTGCAGGGTACAGCCTCAAGCATCGGTGGAAGTCATCCACCCTGAGCACCTATGCTTACCACCATGAGAAGGCCACTCCTCTCATGTGCAGCATCATTACCAGCTCCTTTGAGGCCAGGATGCCCCAGTGGGCCCCCAAAACGCATCATCATCATCAATCCTGAATTACATGCTGCTTGCGACTTCAAGCCCACAAAACCGATGTTCCTGGCAGGGAAGCATCCCGCCGTAGACCCAGAATGATTGTAAACCCCAGAAGCTCAACGCCAAGCAGGCCACTGCAGTCTTGATTGCGGCCGGTGCGCGGACCGACCTCCAAAATGCCCGAGGCTTCACCGCCACGGCGCTCGCCGAGGAGGTGGGAGCTCCGGCCTACATCATCGAAGCTTTGAAGGAGGCCGGTGCTCCAAAATCTCGGCTCTCACGCGGTAAGTAGTGGGCTTCCCAAGCATCTACAAACCTGTGGGGCCATCTGCAGACACAGTACATCATGTTGGACATGTCTAGTGCAGGAGACCGGGCCCGCAAGGGCCAAGCTCGTGACAGACTTTGCAGAAATGGTGCCTTACCTTGGCTACGTTGCAGAAACCGTCTAAGTCTTCTGCGTCCGAGGAAAGTGACCGCAGTCCATGTGACATGCTTGCAAAGTCCTGATGTTCATTTTTGTGGTATCGTGGAATCGCAGGATTGCACAAATCCTGCTCTCCTCGTCGTTTTCGTCGTATTACAAGTACGTACTGCGCCGCCTGCACTGAAGCTTTGAGATACACCTCACATAGGCATGCAGGCACAGAGCCATACATATGTACAGCTAAAGCTCTGCATGCGTACATGTGCATTCTAATAGACATACACATGCACAAGCACACATCTCTACACACATGCGCGCAATGAACACAAACAGACCGACACACACGCGCAGGCACACACACACACGCACACACACACACACACGCACTTGCGTACCAAGCTACCGACCTACCTGCCTGCCTACCTACCTACCCACCTACGTCCTACCTCCGTACATACATGCGTGATTACATACAAACAAGCAAACATACATACGCACACACACACAGAGACAGATAGGAAGACACACAGAGACAGAGACAGAAATACGCTTAGGCAACGTGTAACTTTGAAATCTAAGCCAGGCGACGCAGCATTTCACATTTCCTTGGTTGCTTGCGGTGCAGGATTGCAGTCTACATTCGGCTTCCAACTTCCAACATATGTTATATATAGATATAATATATATAATAATAATAATATACACATGTACTTATATGTATAGGTCTACATATATACGACTTAGACTCATCAATAATAATGGCCCGGTTTCTGTCACTTGTACTATGCAGGACCCCGAAACCGTAATCGAACCTTTGTATTACCTCCAGAGCCTTAAGAGAAGGGTATCATGGGTTACCGGTTACAGATTCTGAGACTGCTGCACCGACTTCACGGCCACAATTGTGGCCCGTTGTGGCCATTATAACGGGCCTATAAGCCCTAAATCTTAAACCCCACCAAAGCCCCCGAACCTAACGATTTTTTGCGTGCACGCTGCAAATTGCAGATGCAAGTTTTTGTTGTCTACCTAGCTGCAGGCTGCTCTGGCAAAAGTGCTGCTGACCTGGTAGTAAAGGAGGCTCAAATACATACGATCGCCGCAATATACTTGTACAGCAGTAGAAAAAGATGTAATGATGATAATGATAATAAAAAAGAATGAAAAAAAAACAACAACAGCCATCAAGAACCAATCAAAGAGTAGAAATCAGAAAAACAAGATTACCCCCTCGGAGTTCGGAACATACATGTAGTATAACAAGATGTGCCTACAACCCCAATCTAGTGGTTTGGACAAAGCACCCGGCTCTGGAACCCTATGGCAGTGTAAGGGTGTTGTTGCAAGGTTTCGTTTTGCAGTTGATACGCTTTTCAAGGGTTGAAAGCTAGAGGTACGTTATCTGAGGTCCTGATATTCTATAGGTTTTCTTGGGTGCTATTCAGGGGTTCTCCTTTGGGGGTTGAGGATTTGGTGTGTCTGTGTCCTGGTTTAAGAGCCTGGGCTTTCCTGTCTTGGTGAGGGTTCAGGAGGACCGGTGGCGGGTTTAGGGTTTAGGGTTTAGGGTTCTAGGGTTTAGGGTTTAGGGTTCTAGGGTTTGGGGTTTAGGGTTCTAGGGTTCTAGGGTTCTAGGGTTTAGGGTTTAGGGTTCTAGGGTTCTAGGGTTTAGGGTTTAGGGTTTAGGGTTTAGCTGAATGCTACAAAACTACACGGGAAACAAAAGGCGATTTCGAGGACTTGCTTTGGCTGGGCATTGTTCATTAGCTGGAACCTCTCTTGAGGACTTGTGTACGACGACAAAGTCTCTGTCGAGCAGGCCACGTACATTGCGATTTGGAGATCTTAAGTGGCTCCGCAGTCTGAGACAGCAATTTCCGGGTCGGAATTTGCCCTTGTCACCTCTACTCCCAGTTGTGATTATTGTACAAGATTCCCCTCAGACCCTGTTCTAACCCCTTGCTGTAACTACTCAGGCCCCTATATTATGAGACTACTGTGCTGATAGCTGATACAAGTGCTGCACCGCCTCAGCTGAACATGCCAGCATGGTCGTTGAGAATTTATAAGCAGTGACTCCAACTCTCGATGACCAGGCCTGTGTGGAGGCTGTTCGACAGCGGCCTGGTCATCGAGTAGTTCCGAAGTCTCCCTTGGAGAGAGACCGTCATCTAGGAGAGCTGGAGGTAAGTAAGCAAGGTTGAGCATTCACAGCCCGAGCATGTTGCGAGAAGCAGGATGAGCAGCAAACCGCATGTAGTGGTATATAGTAAGACATTTGCCATGGGACCGACGACTCGTCCGCTTGAAAAACACTTGCCAGCTGTGGTGAGTTGTGCCTTCTCTACAGGAAAAGCAGCAGCGTTGTAGGCTTGTCTGAAGTAGGTTCAGGATATGGTGTAGTGCCTTTGAGCTCCAGAAGATGCCGTTACCACCATAGCTTGCAAACACTGCGGGGTTCAGAGCAGCTTCCAATGCGACATCGCATCCATTTAGGGTTTAGGGGCTTAGGGTTTAGGGTTTAGGGTTTAGGTTTAGGATTTCTCAAGAGTGGTTAGCCTGCCCTGTTGATGTTGCGACTCCCAAGACGACTTGTTGTTCGCAGCAAGCGCTATCACGGTCAGTACGACCTTGACAAGTACCTTGCCCCTATGACATGCTGCACCTAAACCCTAAACCCTACCGCCTAAGCCTGAAGAGCTCTGCTGATAATCCTGAAACCGGGACTCTCTAAACCCCTAAAACCCTAAAGCCTAAAACCCTAAAACCCCAAAACCCCAAGCCCTAAAGCCTTAACCCCCCAATCCTGGAAGCCTCATTCCCAAGTCGACACCCTTCGACCACCAAGTGCACGGCCTAGGGCCCCTAAAGGGTTTAGGGTTTATAAGGGGTTTAGGGGTTTAGGGGTTTAGGGTTTGGGTGTAGGGGCCTTTCGGGTTTAGAAACCCACCGAGCCCCAATTGTCGATGGTCCCCGTCGAATTTCGGTTCTGTTACTTACCGATAGTCTCCATTGTAGTTCCTGTTTAGGGCTACCTTTCAGGATCCTTAGTATGAAATTGGTTAAGCCAAAAAAGGGAACTACAATGGAGACTATAGGCAGCTCTCCCATACCCAACCTTTAATTTTTTGGGGCTCTTATGGTTTAGTAGTAATCTGAAAGTTCAGTTAACCTTTTCATTTCTGGCTTATTGCGGAAGTAAGGATATAGTGCAACTCCAAAGGGGCAATATGAATGCCATATAGAACTGTTGTTTCATTGTTGCTTTACACGCCGCTCAGTCTTATAGTATTAACTTTAAACCCTAACCCCTAAACCCTAACCCCTAAACCCTAAGCCCTAACCCGTAAACCCTAACCCCTAACCCCGCAAACCCTAAACCCTAAACCCTAAGCCCGAAACCCTAAGCCCTAAACCCTAAACCCCTAAACCCTAAACCCCTAAACCCCTAAACCTAAACCCTAAACCCTAGTAAGGCTCGGCCCATCCGCAGCTGGCAAGTCGACGGCGCTGGCTGAAGAACGGCTGCAGGCAAAACCTTCTCAGTCGGTTGGGGGGCAGGTACAGGGCCGAAATCTTATCGAAGTTTAGGGTTTAGGGTTTCGGGGTCGGTTCCAGGTTCCGGGCTGAATCTTATAGAAGCCCCCAAACCCTAAACCCCAAAACCCTAAACCCCGAAATACGCCTTAGCCCCTAACCCCTAAACCCCTAAACCCTCTAAGCCCTCAACCAGATCCCCAAAAGGTTCCTCCGGGGGCTATGACTTTGGACGGCTCCATCATCCGAGAGACGAGCGCAGTCTGGAAGAAGGCCTGGACCAGAGTCCGCGAAGTCGCGGAGGGTTTAGGGGGTTTAGGGGTTTAGGGTGGTGGGATTTCGGGATTTAGGGGTTTAGGGCTTAGCGGCTGTTGGGGGGTTTTATCAGGCTTGGGGGTTTGGGGATTTTGTGTTTAGAGTTTAGGGAGTTTGGGATTTAGGGTTTGGGGGTTAGGGACTTGCGAATTTAGGGTTTAGGGCTTAAGTTAGGGCAACTCGTGCCGTTTGGAGTTTGAGGGTCTTCTGGAGATTCGAGCAAAACGGCGCTCAGGGTTGCTTGCCGGCACAAGCAACGGCCATAAACCCTAACCCTAAACTCCAAACCCTAAAGCCTGAACCCTAAACCCTACTTCGTTTTTCAATATTTCTATGGGTTTAGTGGAAGCATCGCATTTTATAGAAGTCGAAATAATTGCCTCTATGATTCTGATTCCTTAGGGCTCCTTATTTTTATTATTATTATCACACGATAAAGGAGCCCAAAACCCTATTGGAATTGTTAAGGTTCCTATATTAGGCAAGGCTCGGGGAAAGGGTTCGCGGTTCGACTTAATCTGGGTTCACTAATCCATCGCAGTCTGTGGGCTGCTGTGAATGCTGTTACCTTTCGGGGCCTCCATAGTATAGGACTATTTTTGGGGTGTCTTGAATATAGTTATAGTAGAATAGACCCCAAGGCCCTATTCTAATTAATAAGGTCCCTACATTATCTTTGTTTGCAGATCTCTGTGATGAGAGAGGTTTTGGAGGGACCCCTAAAGCTTGATTGGGTGGCTGGGGCGGGACTACATGCGGATGCAAGCACGCGATAAGTCGGCGCACCCCCCATTCCTGAAGAAGCACCCTGACCGCACGACCCTGTATACAAACCCCCACCTTTCCAGGCCCTGCACCTTCAGACCACAACCTTATCCCTTAGCCGAAAGCCCTAGCTAAACCTTAAACTCCCTAAACCCTAAACCTTTGGCCTTAAATCTCAGATCTTAAGCCTTCCAAAAACCCAAGCCCATACCTTGAGCCCTAAGGCTTTATGCCTTGAGGTTTTGGGGCTTAGGGCGCTTAGGGCTCCGGATATGGGGGTTTGGGTTTTTGGAAGGCTCAAGGTTTGAGATTTAAGGCGTAAGATATGGAATTTTGGGACCACCATGACATAGTAGCTATAGGATTAGGGGGAACTTTGGGGGTATAGACCCTCTCAACAAGGTCCCTTTT